CATTCACGGAAAGCCACGTGGCCAGGGAAGCCGTCAACCTAAGCGTCACCTCAACACCAAACGTCGCGCATTAATTACGCTTCGATCACAGCACCACAGGCACCATGTACACACCCCACCAGGCACTCATAGCTCGTGAAGGACCACATGGCACGCAAGCCTGTCACGATAAACGACATTTTGACGAAAGCAGTGACCGGCTAAGTCCCTCCAAAATCAAAGGCCGACCCAACATGCTCTTCGCGCTTTAGTGCTTGAGCATGGAGGGCTATGTACCGTGGTGGACCGACCCAAACACACATCGTCCGGGGACCGACCCAACATGCTCTTCGCACTTTAGTGCTTGAGCATGGAGGGCTATGTACCGTGGTGGACCGACCCAAACACACATCGTCCGGGGACCGACCCAACATGCTCTTCGCACTTTAGTGCTTGAGCATGGAGGGCTATGTACCGTGGTGGGCCGATGTATGGTGGTGGACCGACCCAAAACACACATCGTCCCGAGACCGATCCAACACGCATGGCCCAACTTCCGACCCAATACGCCACGCCGTGGCACCTAAAACTAAGATGGCTTTAGACGATCCCGGGATTCTTGGGATAAGGGGGATGACGGTCATAAATGCAGGGGATAGTGAACCCATAATGGGGCGTGATTCAAGGGATCCACAGAGGGAACGCGACACTACTATACATAGCAATGATTGGGGACGAGCAGATTAGGTTACTCTCATCGAATGTTCTAGGTCGGGACTGCTGCCAAGCGCTCTTAGCTGGGTACCGCCAAGGGTTCTTCGGCGGCGGTCTCTCATACCGGAACAAATGCGAAAATAAATTAGGTGAAAGTGTGCAGTAAATTAATAAGTGGCCAAAACAGATTACCAAGTCTGAATCTTATTAAATTTTTCTCAATCACTTTTGCGAGCCAGGGATTTTATTCTTGGACAGCAAGTTTTTGTTCAAAATAGATATTCTTGATTGAGAATTAGATTTTATATTCAGTGATATAACCTTTTACGAAAACAAAAAATTAACTAAAATCAACTGATTATCTATAACAATGTAAGCAAAATTTAATAAAGTTGTAGATTCCAAAAGAATAAAAAAGAGAAGTTTGAACGAAATTGAATCAGGATGTGACATGGCAGAAGAGTAGAAAAAGTTGGAAGAATAAATGAAGGGAATTGCTGAAAAGACAAAAGTTGTGTAGTGACCTTCTCACGGGGTTCACGAATACAAAATGTTTGAGTGCATACGTTATATACTTCACTACTCACTCTCACTGTCACTGATAATACACAGCGCGCTTGTTGACAAGACAGAGCCTGGTTCTGGGATACAGATACAAGAGATTGGGCTTGGGAGTGGAACCATTTTGATCTTCCTCAAAATAACAAGGTTTATCCTCGTCAATGGTCCCCATCTTTCTGACCTCAGTGTGATAACTCATTTTGGTTCTGTTATATTTAAACCTCACCGTCTGGTTGATTGGCATTGGCACTGATGTTTCTCTTTCGACCCTTGTTTGGTTGCACACACTTTTGTTTGGTCCGTGAGTGTGGTGTGAAATCTGAACGGAAGAGGCTGCCCCAACGGCCAACGCTCCAGCACAATTCACCACTCCCTTCACGTATAACTCCTTTGCTTTCTTCAGAATTCTGATGGGGGTCAAAATGAAGTGCTTAAACTTGTTTTGCTTCTTTCCTTCCTTTCTCATGGTTGCTATAGCATTTCATGCCTATGCCTATGCCTATGCCAAATAAATATAAATAATGAATTAACGATTAGAATGAGTGACCATTGTTTTATTAATTTGCATTGGACTTGTCCCTTGATGCTCATAACATTTTAGACGGCAGGCTGGGAAGTCCGCCAGGGACGTCTAAAGGTCGTTGGACCTTGTCATCAACAAAACAATGCAAAATGGAAAATAAAATACACTGCGGTCGTTGGAGCTAATAAATAACCTTTTAGCCCAAAATCATAGGTAAACTCCTTTGCTATTATGCACTTGCTTTGAATTCATAGAATCCATATTAAACCTTATTTGTTATTTGTTAAGTGTAAACTCGTCGTCAGTTCCTTATTTGTTAAGATCGATTGCAAGTACTAAAGCAGTACTAAACTTCCAAAATTGTCTCACTTCCTCCTGTATTCGGCACAACCGAATGCGTCACAGTTTTGTGCGTTTGTAAAGTTAATTAGTCAGCAATATGCTTTTGTTTTCTTAAAACTTAGTAATATGATAGAGACAATACTCTTTAACTTTCAGGAAAATAATTTTCATGAGTTGCTTATCAATTTGTACCTTGTTTTTCCTTCATGTTCTATCAGGTTGAATATTATTATTTAGTGTTAATATGCTATTGAAATAGGCATTTAGCTTTAAAAGCAAATTATGATTCCATCACCCGTGTCTATTTTTCTTCAAAGTGTCCACAACTCTTGATACTAAAATTAGTTCCTCGTAAATTCCTGCATAATGAATCTCTGCCCATATCCTGACGATGCCAACGAAAATCATCTAAATTAACCATTTGCAATATTAACCATAGGAATGTAAAGAACAAAATAAATGTTTCCCAGAAGCAAAAATGGATTAAAATACTAGAAACGTTTTCCCGGCCAACAATGAAATATTGTCGTAAGAAAAATCGCATCACCATGAAAATTCCTCTTTATTAAATCTATGGTCCATACAGTACCAACAAATATTGTGAGAAATTAGATGAACAAGTCGTGTGCACAACAAATTCTATCATGCTGCTATAAGCATAGTTGAAAAGCAATCTGTAAAATACGTCAGAATCCAAAGAAACAAGATGTTCAATTATCATACTGTATTGATAGGGCTTAATAAAAATTCTACCCACATAAGCCAGGTCATAAACAGTCATCGTGCATGAAACTCAGCACAGACAGATTTTAAACATAAATTCCATGCACTCTAGAATTTGCAGCTCCATTAAAGCACTATGACAAAGTAAGAATTGTCGTAAACAAAGGGCTTTTTCGTTGTCTCCAAATCGCATCCACATACTTTAAAATGTGCCTTACTCTAATAATGGGACCAAATGCCCGGTTATTCGACAACAGAAAATGGTCAAAATCACAGCAACTACCATTTTACCCTGTTCTTGTTATATTTTTTTTCTTCCAAAGTACAGTGAATCACACTTGTACTTCCTGAGTACAAGATTTTTAAGGATTAAGAAATGTAACAAAATGTGACATAGTTCATCTGAAGCTATAAATATTTAATATGAAAGATTTTAGAACGAATTTAGCATGCCATTTCTCATGGTATTCTTCAATGTCGACAAACATAAGACAGATAATCTATCAAGTCATTCCCATTCCACAATAATCAACTTCAAAATTTTAAACAGCAAAAAGGAAATGCATTAACCTTAATGAATTGGACTCAACATATTCCTAGCCAAGAGGCTAAATTACAAAATAAACTAGCATATAGAGAAAGAAAAACTGGGCCAAAATCAAGCATCTGCAATGGTGACCTCGACCTCAACACCAGGTTCAATTGTGATTGAGGTAATCTGCTTAACCACATCAGGAGAACTATAGAGGTCAATGACTCTCTTGTGCACACGTAGCTCAAATCTGTCCCATGTGTTGGTGCCTAGAACAAGAAGCAAAAAAGGTCTTAAACAAAGGCTGATTATCATTCATTCAAAATGAAAACATACTAGCAAATAGCAATACCAAATACCAAAATATTGCTCTTACATTCTCTCTCGGCTAGCTTAATGACATTTTTAAAATCACCAACAAACAATCAATCATATATTGTCGCTAAGTTAAAGGTGGGACCAAATTTGAAACACAAAATTTCAAGTAGGATGAGAGAACTGGGTTTTAGAATGTAAATTTTGACCTAACTCAACCATGACTTAGTAAGGCGAAATTTGTCTCCCACTTACATACTCTCTTTTTTTTTTTTGCCTTATCCCTAGTCTATATGGGACTTGAATTTTTCCGATACACTAGTCTTTGGTGCAGAGATAAAAAGTGAGTGACCCTTTTAATGAATTTAGGACAGGGGACTTTGGGTTTTTTCCAATACTTAGGGGCAACATAAACCATAATAAGCACTCACCCGACAACTTGTGTTTTTAACAAAAATACAACGAAATCATGAAGCTACATTTGTAATTAAAATTTATGAAGCAAGAAAAACATTAAAAAAAAAAAGTTTAAACTAAAATTACCTTCACCACATGGGGATTTCCTGGTGGTTATATGAAGAACTTTAGTTGGCATCCTAACAGGTCCCTTGACCCTGAGGCGCTTGTCCTTGGCACCACGAACCAGGTCGGCACAAACTATCATAATCATAATGAAATGTAAAATAAATATAAAAAAAGGGTTTAAGAGTATGAGTTGAGTATTGAAGGATGAAAAGATACCCTTCTCGAGATTCTTGACATTCTTAGAGGAAAGGGTGATCCTAATCTTGTGGATCTGCTCTTGAGACTCCTCCAAACCGGGCTTAGTGGGCTTCATTGCAGCGTAAGCCATTGTTTCGTCAAGACGCTATGGTGAAGGTCCCCTCTGTTGTGCGCAGAAAATTAAGAATGCGATGTGAATAAAAAAGAACAGAGCATTGAGGAACGACGATGATAGATACCTTTGAGATTGAGAATTGGAAGCAAAATGCGGCGGGCTCTGCAGTCGGGGGCGGAAGCAGGTTTTACACAAATTCAGATTTATATTACTCTCTCTTCTTTACCATCTCTCATTGGGTCAAGACATGGGCCGGATCATCCATAGGCCTGCTTTTTATATGTCCCATTCTTTGCTTACCAAAATCAACATATATTCCTACTCTCAAAAATTTTATACCATTATCAATTTTTCTAATAATTATCCTAAAAGTTATACATAAAATCTAATTGATTCATACAATAATACTTTTACATTTTTAACAAATTTAAATTTAAATTTAAAAATTAGTATGTTATAACATTTGGTAAATTTGATAGCTCAAATTTTAAACGTCCGGTATTTTATTTCCATATTATTATGTCGTGCTCCATTTGAACTTTATTTTACAATATAAAATATGCTTTATGTACATGGGCTTTAGAGTGTGAAAATGAAAAGTCTTCTAATAAGGAAGTCTGGCTTTATAGCTATTAAAGTTGACCTGGAAAACACTTGCAACAGTATGAGATGGGCTTTTTAAAAATAATTATACTCTTGTATTGCATTTTATTTTTTAATTAATTTATATTTAAAGATAAAATAGAAATATATATATATATATATATATATATATAATATATCTTCTTTAAAAATAATTTTTGTCCATTTTTGTAATATAAAAATACTAATTTTTTACGGAAGTACGGAGCAGGGTTTTTTCTTTTTTAGTGAAATACAATACCAGCAAATAAAATTCAGCAGCCAAATTTTAACAGAAATTTAGAAGTGCAGATATAGCATTCAACAAATTCGCATGACCTGGTGCGGCAACTCATGGGATGAAATGGTGTTTGGCGTTATTTTTAATTAAAATTAAATTTTTATCTTAATAATATATATAAATATATATTAATAAGATCTAGATTAAATTTAAGTATATATATTATTGAGTTAAAAATTTTAATTAAAAATAATATTAATCACTTTTAAAAAAATTGTATCTAAGTTTATTTAATATTTTTTATAATATTTTAAAATAAATGAGAAATAATATGCATAATATATGCTTTCTAAGGGAACCAATATCTGATATGGTTCAGTGTGAGACAATAGAATAATGCTATAGTGGTGCTATATTTTAAATAATTTTTATGTAAGAAATATATAATTTACAAGAGAAATTCTACTGTATCTCTATATATTTAAAGGATTTTAGAAGTGATTTTATTTTTTGTTTTTTTAAATATTTAATTTAAAATTGTTTAATTTTTAACATGTTTATATTTTTATTTTAATATATTTTAAATAAATTTAATATATATATATATATATATACACACATATATATATATGAATTGTTTGGATTTAGTAAAAATATTTTATACTTGTGTATAAATTATAAATTATAAAGAGTAAATTAAATAAAAAATTTATAAAATCTGTTAACTTTAGTAAATAAAATCTTACTGTGTTCTTCTCAAAATTATTTTAATTTTTACCAAAAAACTGAAACAATTAAATTAATATTTAGCAAAAAGAAATAATAAATTAATTATTTAAATGATTTATTTATTAAAAACGTATCATTTAATATAAAAGAAAAAAGGAAATAAAAAACTTATATTTTACATTATTTTGATTAATTTAAAAATAGAGCGTATCAAAATATTTCATTTTACAAGGCGACATAAAATAGCATTTGGCTGTTGTGGTACTACGCCACCTGCAAATGGCGTTGAAAGGAGCAGTGGCCGAGACACTCGTAGGTAGGAATGATAATGGGATGGCTGTTGTGGTACAGACTTCATGATATTGTAACTCAAATTCATCCATTCGTATTTGTGGAGTATATAATTTTTGTTCTCATCCCCGTCGGATATAAGGTATATTCAAATCGATACCCATCAATTTTTTAAATATATATATATATATATATAATATTTTTAAATTATTTTTTTATTATATTATAATTATAATTAAATTATTTCTATATTTTATATTTTAATGGAGAGATTTCTTAATAATTAAACAACTATAAATATTTCACATTATAATAAATAATTATATATAATAAAATATTAAATTTTTTTAACACAATTAAATCAAAAATAGGTATTAAATCAGAGACAGGTATGAAAAAGAATACGAGGTGAATAATTATATATTTTTACCCGTTCCTGATTTAATATATCAAATTTTATTCATACTCAACGTGAAGCTATTCGATTTTACAGAAATTTATTCTCAGATGACTCACAAGGCCACTTCGTAGATATGCAATACGGCACACCACCGCAGCTTGGTGCAGAAGCAGTGACATCGCTTCTGGCACCCATTACAAAAGAGGAGGTTCGTAGAGCGGTAATGAGTATGAAATCGTTCAAGGCACCGGGACCCGATGGTTTCCAACCTTTCTTTTTTAACCAGTACTGGTCCATTGTAGGGGATGAGCTATGGCGAACTGTTAATGAGGCCTTCGTCAATGGTTAATCGGATTCTTCTCTATTAGAAACTCTTGTGGTCTTAATACCAAAAGTTGACCACCCCATGCACCTCAAGGAGTTCCGACCCATAAGCTTGTGTAATGTCGCATTCAAGGTCATCTCAAAGGTAATTGTTGCTAGGATTTGCCCCTTCTTGAACGACATTATAGGTCCATTTCAAGGGAGCTTCATACTTGGGCGGGGGACGACAGACAACATCATTTTGGCTTAGGAAGCAATCAACTTCATCCAAAAAGACAAGTCCAAACGAGTCGTTGGCATTGAAGATCGACCTGGAAAAAGCATATGATCGAATCAACTGGAATTTCCTTCAGGCCACATTTTGGAGATTTGGCTTTCCAGAGAGGATTATCAAGCTTATCATGTGGGGCGTAACAAACTCATCTTTATCTGTGCTTTGGAATGGAAGTAAGTTACCCTCCTTTGCACCAACTCGAGGCTTAAGACAAGGAGATCCCCTCTCTCCATATTTATTCGTATTATGCATGGAAAGACTGGCCCTTAGAATTAATGAACTGAACAGCGAGGGCTGCTGGAACCCAATCCATCTCTCTCCAGGAGGACCACCCATCTCTCACCTCCTTTTCGCAAATGACGTTATATTTTTCAGCCAAGCAACAAATGATCAAGTCCAAGTAATGGCTTCTATGCTAGAGAATTTTTGCACCGCATCAGGTCTCAAGATAAATCTGGAGAAATCAAAATTTGTGGTCTCGAAAGGGGTGCCTAGCGCGAGACTTGAGCACTTAGAAGAGACACTGAGTATTGAACATACACCCCGATTTAAAAGATATCTCGAAATACTAATGATCCAGGGGAAAGCTAAGATTTTGGATTTCCACCATGTAATTGACCGTATTAATGACCGCCTAGCTGCTTGGAATGGACGTCTTCTTAACAAAGCTGGTAGGTTATACCTCATCAACTCAGTCGTCACATCTATTCCTTTATATAGCATGCAATCCATTTGGTTACCCCAAGTAGTTTGTAATAAGATCAATCAAGCCAGCAGAACCATGCTTTGGGCCAAGGCAGGTTCATCAAGATATTGGTCTTTAGTAGGCTGGAATACTGTCACTCGCCCGAAATAATAAATTAATTATTTAAATGATTTATTTATTAAAAACGTATCATTTAATATAAAAGAAAAAAGGAAATAAAAAACTTATATTTTACATTATTTTGATTAATTTAAAAATAGAGCGTATCAAAATATTTCATTTTACAAGGCGACATAAAATAGCATTTGGCTGTTGTGGTACTAGGCCACCTGCAAATGGCGTTGAAAGGAGCAGTGGCCGAGACACTCGTAGGTAGGAATGATAATGGGATGGCTGTTGTGGTACAGACTTCATGATATTGTAACTCAAATTCATCCATTCGTATTTGTGGAGTATATAATTTTTGTTCTCATCCCCGTCGGATATAAGGTATATTCAAATCGATACCCATCAATTTTTTAAATATATATATATATATATATAATATTTTTAAATTATTTTTTTATTATATTATAATTATAATTAAATTATTTCTATATATGTATATATATATTTAACAAGTTCCCATCCCTTCCTCCCCGGCAGGCGCTAACATGTTCTCTTGGGAAGGTGACTCTTCCGGATGCTATACAGTAGCTTCCGGCTTTAGGTTTCTTCTTTCACCCGATCATGGTCTTGTGGACCCTATATGGAAGCGTGTTTGGAAGCTGCATGTCCTAAAAAAAATTAAGTTCCTTCTTTGGCAAGGCTTACACTCATCCATACCGACAAATCACTTTCGTTCTCTTCGTCATTTAGATTCTGTGGGAAGTTGCCCCCGCTGTTCCTGTCCACAAGAAACCATTCTCCATGCAATTCGAGATTGTCCACACTCTCAGGAAGTATGGCTGCAGGTTGGTAATACCCCCTCCCAGATTTTTTCGCTGATGGATTGCTTCACATGGTTTAAGGGAGTTATAACTAATTCTGTAACATTGTAAAAAAAAAAAAAAAAAAAAAAAAAAAAAAAAACATG